AGTCGGCCACAGACTGCCATGGAAAAGGCAGCCATAGACAGCCATGGAGAAGTCGGCCATAGAAAGCCATGGAGAAGTCGGCCATAGAAACCTATGGAGAAGTCGGCCATAGACAGCCATGGAGAAGACGACCCTAGACAGCGATGGAGAAGACGACCATGGACAGCCATGGAGAAGTCGGCCATAGACAGCCATGGAGAAGACGGCCATAGACAAACCTAGAAACATAATCAGGGTGAACCGGGATTCGAACCCACAATCATAGGTTTCTGGCATGCCCAAGGGACGCAACTCTGCACAGCGAATCGCAGTGCCTTAGATGACTGGGCCACCTGTGCCCCCGACACCTATGGAGAAGACATGTTCATATAAATGTTAAGTATTTGGAAAATGTCACACTTGCAATATACTTGCAATATCATAAGTAACAAATATTAATGATAATTCTCCTTCACAAGTGGAATCCAAGAACCTGAGCTGTAGGTCAGCAGCCTACTGTACCTGACCTACAGAATCAATCAACTAATGGAGTTTATTAAAGAGAACATGATATCCATTGTTATTGCTCTCACTCCATCATTTTCATAACACAGGCCATTATTAATCAAAATATTTCATTCACATACAAGCCATATTTTTGTAATCTTTTTCGTATGTCAAAAACTGACATGTGTAAAAATATGACAAAAGACCAGTTGCTGACCATATGAACCTGTCAATAATTAACAGAACAATATTTCAAAGTCTGACATTTCCAAAACAGCTTAAAGGGGGCTCTTATTCTAAATATCACCGTGTGAATAGATGTCCTTGTTGCCCATCTACATCCTAGGAGGGAGGAGGTCAATCTACCCACTCTCCATCTCAAACACACAATGCTGCTGGTTTGAACCCCCCCCTCATTGTATTGTAGTGTATCTTTAGTCGCTATAGGACATTGGACCATGTACATCCTCAGCAGTAACTATTTTATAATTGGGATATCACTTAGTGAAAAACAGAATCTTTTTGTACACTCTGGCAGTGTGGGTTCGAATCCCGGATGGGACTCAACCCCCCAAAAGTACTTGAATCTGTACTTTACTAAGAAAGTGTTATCCTAAATATAACATTTGTTACATTTGACCACTTTCTAAATTGCATTGTGTATTCATTGCTTTTGGCCATTGGAGCCGTGCCAATTTCACACTTGTCAGAGGGGTACACAAAGTACATGATCTAGACTGCCAGTTGTCGGACTTTCATTTTTGTGGAAGCCTCGGTGGCTGAGTTGGTTAGATCGCTGACTTTGTGTGTTCTGGCGATTAGGTGCCTCACTCTGGCAGTTTGGGTTCGAATCCCGGATGAGACTCAAGCCCCCCAAAAAGTACTAAAATCTGTAGTTTACTCAGAAAGTGTTATCCCAAATATAACATTTGTTACATTTAACCACTTTCTAGGTGGCATTGTGTGTTCTTTAATTCAACATGATTCCGTTAACAGTGACAAATGGGGAGGTTGATATTACAGTGACAAATGGGTAGGTTGATATTACAGTGACAAATGGGTAGGTTGATATTACAGTGACAAATGGGTAGGTTGATATTACAGTGACAAATGGGTAGGTTGATATTACAGTGACAAATGGGTAGGTTGATATTACAGTGACAAACGGGTAGGTTGATATTACAGTGACAAACGGGAAGGTTGATATTACAGTGACAAACGGGTAGGTTGATATTACAGTGACAAATGGGTAGGTTGATATTACAGTGACAAATGGGTAGGTTGATATTACAGTGACAAATGGGTAGGTTGATATTACAGTGACAAATGGGTAGGTTGATATTACAGTGACAAATGGGTAGGTTGACATTACAGTGACAAATGGGTAGGTTGATATTACAGTGACAAATGGGTAGGTTGATATTACAGTGACAAATGGGTAGGTTGATATTACAGTGACAAATGGGTAGGTTGATATTACAGTGACAAATGGGTAGGTTGATATTACAGTGACAAATGGGTAGGTTGATATTACAGTGACAAATGGGTAGGTTGATATTACAGTGACAAACGGGTAGGTTGATATTACAGTGACAAATGGGTAGGTTGATATTACAGTGACAAATGGGGAGGATGATATTACAGTGACAAATGGGGAGGTTGATATTACAGTGACAAATGGGGAGGTTGATATTACATGACATGTCCTGCTACATGTGCTCCGCTCACAAACTTTTCACAATTCATTAAATATTCTTCCTATTACAAGAATAACATATTGAATATACTCACGTTAGAGTTATTCAAATAAAACTTAGGTTGATATTTTAATTTCAAATTCAATGAAATACGGGCAAACCAAAATATAATGGTCCTCGTGTTCCGTGTTTCCCAGCATACATAATATACAGAGTCAATTACAACAAGCAATATCACATCATCTTCCAACTGTTATTATTAAAGAGAGTTCTCCTATTTTTAAATGGGCACTAATCTCTGGCTTCTTCTCAGCTGTCTGACACTGGCCGCTGGGCTCACTAGCTTCCGTGAGTTGATTTGCTCGCCAACACAACTGAGCGTGACAAGAAACTGGACTACCGTCTGCAAGGACAGCTAAAAAAACTTGGAGGTAATATTTGTTTTACGCATTTTTGAACACTGATTGGTTACCCGTGATCTATGAAGATTTCAACAAAGGGCGCATGTTAATTAATTTCTTCAGCCTAAACAAACAGACAAAAAGTACAGTGGAAGCTCATAGGGTGTCGTTTTTTCTAAATACCCCTGATGCTTATAGTCACTCTCCTACCCAGAGTTCCATGCAGCCGGCAGCCAGCCAGCATAGTACCTCTGACACAGGCCAGCGCCATGTGACGATTCGTCACATCTTTCACAGTCCATTCAAGATATTGCATATGCTTTTCATCCGTTTCATGTTTGACAAGTCTACACATTTTCATAAACAAATGTCCAAGAATGGTTACGGTTCATTAAGAAAGTATCCTCATACGTGAACATCTACTTGTTTTTGCGTAGTTATCCTTTGTTTACATTGGTTGTACGGCTCCACGTGCTGTCATCGAAGCCCAATGGAGAGCTAGCCATACGGTCACTTTGATGTATAAATATATATTGTAGTAGTAGTAGTAGTAGTAGTAGTAGCATATCTATATAATTATGCAAAAAACATGTAAAGCGCCCCAAATACGTTCTATACTGATTTCTGAAAAAGCGCGTTTGTTTACAAACAAGAGAAAAGTCCGGTCACGTGATATGCAAATTAGCCTGTGGCAGTGGTGTTATGCTGAGTCACCACTGCGCCGGAGTGTGGGTTATAGTTTAATAATTAACAAAAAGAATCCCTGTAGTGAAAGCATTTAAGATTTCGGATTGCGTGGACAATACGATTACTACTCCCTTGTTGTAATCCATGTTTTCTGGTATGACCCTACACTTGTGTATTTGTCGTCATTCACTTGATGCTCAGTTAATGAATTTATTACAGGTATAATTAGTGGTAGCACCAATCAGATTACCTGATAAAGGTTCCCATTTGACATTTCTTGTGTCGGGGGTAATTATTAAATCTAAATCCAGGTTTGAAGTGAGGTGAAGTGTGTGTTTTGTAATTTTTAAAAATTGACTGAAAAATCTGTCCATTTATTTAACAGATCGACTAAAAATGATTAAGACGGTCAAAAGGGCTTAAAAACACAGATTAATTATGCTAGGATTAGAAGCCAAACAATATAGAAATGTACTTTTAATCCTAACAGTTTCAGTTACTTGGTGATGATATTAAACATAAAACATTTGGAATTTGTTACCATAATAATAAGATGGACATATTTTTCAGTCAATTTGTAAAAGTAACTGAACATTTAGGCGTTTAATAAATTTCATAAGCGAAAATTTAAGCACATTTTGGCTGTAAAGATACACACGTTAAATAAGCAATGTTCAGGTGAAATATTTTCTTTGTGTTGCAAGTCAATATAGTGTACACAAAAATCGCACAATTACCAAGCAAGTGACTTATCAAAACTTCGTCATCATTACCGATGCTATCAACAAAGATACTTACATTTCCTTATCATTTCCAAATCTGTATTTCATTTTGTTGATCAATGTGACCATACGCCCCGATACTATCAATAAAAGTGACAAATGTGCTTACGAATGGCGCAGCACAGGTCGCAAACTAGTCTTGATTTCTGCTATACAGCCGGGTACAAAGGCAACAACCAGTCCTGGTGAACTGCTTTAGATCAGTGACCTAGCTTTAATATGCATAAATGTTGTTTATAAACACAAACAGTGAATGTACATACACAGTACCCAACTGCTACAAGGGATTTATGTTAATGATACTGACATAATTTACTAGATTCACAAGCCTTTGAATGCAAGTTTTTTTTATAACACTATCCTAATCTTTGTACAAAATGTTTAATGAATTCTAAATGACTGCACAACAACCACCGTAAATACATGCAAGTTCCTTGTGACTGCAGCTTGTTTGAGAGCTGTGTGTACCTCTGGTGTTCACGGTACAAAATGACAACATTGTGGTATTGTTTAATAATCCCGGTACTGCTTCCATGCAGGAGGAAGGAAGAGCACCACCACCAACCCTCACAGGCCCTCTATTCCAGCACCACCACCAACCCTCACAGGCCCTCTATTCCAGCACCACCACCAACCCTCACAGGCCATCTATTCCAGCACCACCAACCCTCACAGGCCATCTATTCCAGCACCACCAACCCTCACAGGCCCTCTATTCCAGCACCACCACCAACCCTCACAGGCCATCTATTCCAGCACCACCACCAACCCTCACAGGCCATCTATTCCAGCACCACCACCAACCCTCACAGGCCATCTATTCCAGCACCACCAACCCTCACAGGCCATCTATTCCAGCACCACCAACCCTCACAGGCCATCTATTCCAGCACTACCACTAACCCTCACAGGCCATCTATTCCAGCACCATAACCAGGAACACTTACCTCAGATGGGGGAATTCCTCGAAGAAGAACTGCAAGAAGTCCTGAAACAAAGACATAATTGTATTGAGAAAATATAAATAGTTGAAAGTCATAGGTTGAATATGAAACATCAACACCAAAAAATAACCAGTCTCAATTATCCAACAAAATTGATTTCATTGGGCATAAGAGGCAAAATAGCGGTTAAAATTATATGAATGGATCGTTGAAAATCAGTGATGACACCAGGTGTTCAAAGAGAGAGTAAGCATGTCCTGCCCTACCGTTCACACCCGAAGATAAGACTTACACAAATAGGAGTCCAGGGGACCCCACATCAATTTTAAGGGTCCTTGCAGGAAATATGAGGGTCCTGTAAAGTGACATCTTCCCATGGCAAGTGAGTTAACTGACTATAAAAGTCCAGTTTCCATCCTTGCTGAACTAGGCTCGTATTATGGAGTTACATTTTGGCTGGACTAACGAGTTTATGCATAGTCCAATCCAAATCGCACACCGAAATCGAAATCCGGTTTGTAAAGTGTCATGCAGATTTTGGTCAACTGCAGGATTTGCAAAGCATGTGCACCGCTAACTTGTTGTCAACAGATATTTTCTAAATCTTATGTTTTTAATCAAGGTGCTCACGTGATTTGATGCACTTCGCGATGTAAGACTCGTTTTATCACAATATAGATGTTGATTATCGATCAGATCGTCTTGACTGGGCGCCACCGATTTTTTGAAGCAAATGCATGTGATACGAGAGGTGGAATCTGATTGGTCAATAGGAGAGGCATAGAAAGGACATGACTTGTAATAGCCACTGATGGTGCTACGATCGAGCCCAGGAATTCCAGCCTAGTTCGGCAAGGATGGAAACTGGACTTTTAGAGTCAGTTAACTCTCTTGCCTCGGGAAGATGGTAAAGTGATGAAATGGTGAAGTGTACTGTATGTTTAGATTACTTGAGAGCGCGGAATGAAACATGGACAGTGGTCATGATCGATGGATGAAATGACAGATGCCCACAACTGCTCTTGATGCACTGTAGGTACTATCAGTATATTTGTGTGTCCCTTGGGACCTGGTATATAGTTATCTGTGTCAACTCTCTATATGTGTGTGTACTGGACGCTGCAGATGTAATATTGTTTTAAATGAAACACAAGGAGTATGACAGGTAAAGAAGCTCACCTTCTTTGGGTGATACAGCACTGATACTAGATTGTTCCTACAAGAATTAATGCCTTCAATTTATATACACTAAACTAGATAATATATAGACATCCATAAAAATAATTGCTTAACTGAATATCTGTTCACTATTTCTTACTGCTGGCACATGAAACTATTTTGAGAGTTTTCAAAATGAAAATCTTACTTCACTGGGTATAGGGTCCCAGAATACCTCTCCTTTATGTAGAGAAGTGTCCGACATGAAGGCTTCTCATTCACAAACGTAAGTTGAATTGACAGCCATTTTGAATTTCTTTGCCAGATGTCATACTCCTTGTAATTTCAGAGATGTTTGTTTAACACCACACTCAGCAATATTCCAGCTATAGTGGTCTTTAAATATTCGAGTCTGGACTAGACAATCCAGTGATTGATATCATGAGTATATGGGATATTTGGATATGATGACACATAAACATATAAATAAATATGTATCTTTATTCTGTATAAAAATCACAGGCCCATCTACATAAATTAAGCAGGATTCATTTTAACAGTGACAGACGGGTATGTTAATCTTACATATGGACAACTTTTCAACTTTATACAACACTTCTCAATTTCATTGTCATAAACCTTGTCTTATAATTTCAAAATAATATGTGTTTTGGTTACAAACACAAACTGTTTTGCATGAAGTCTCTTTCAACACCAGCCAACCAGAAGCTTTTGCTGCAGTGACACTGTGTCCCCAGAGACTCTGGAGTGATAGATGAGGCTTACGTTTATCAAGGAAATTATCTGCTTGTAAAACATCTTTGCTACTTCATGTCATACACCATTTGAAAGGTCCTATCCTACGGTTTATAAATATGAAAGTTAAGTTCATCACATTATTTAAATAATCAATTTACAATTTAATTAGGTTTGTTTTAAATAAAAAATGTATGCAAACACATTCATAACGTCCACATGAAAGGGAAAGTCAAAACTCTTAACTCTCAGTTGTTTAGCCTGCATCAACACTGGATCCCAATTAGCATCAGCAGCCCAACAAACAACCTAGGGGGCACTTGGAGGACCTCGTTGACAGCAGGGGGAATCCCCTTGAAACCTCCCACTTGATGGGATGGTGCTAACTATAACCTTTCACCAAAAAATAACCAGTCTCAATTATCCAACAAAATTGATTTCATTGGGCATAAGAGGCAAAATAGCGGTTAAAATTATATGAATGGATCGTTGAAAATCAGTGATGACACCAGGTGTTCAAAGAGAGAGTAAGCATGTCCTGCCTACCGTTCACACCCGAAGATAAGACTTACACAAATAGGAGTCCAGGGGACCCCACATCAATTTTAAGGGTCCTTGCAGGAAATATGAGGGTCCTGTAAAGTGACATCTTCCCATGGCAAGTGAGTTAACTGACTATAAAAGTCCAGTTTCCATCCTTGCTGAACTAGGCTCGTATTATGGAGTTACATTTTGGCTGGACTAACGAGTTTATGCATAGTCCAATCCAAATCGCACACCGAAATCGAAATCCGGTTTGTAAAGTGTCATGCAGATTTTGGTCAACTGCAGGATTTGCAAAGCATGTGCACCGCTAACTTGTTGTCAACAGATATTTTCTAAATCTTATGTTTTTAATCAAGGTGCTCACGTGATTTGATGCACTTCGCGATGTAAGACTCGTTTTATCACAATATAGATGTTGATTATCGATCAGATCGTCTTGACTGGGCGCCACCGATTTTTTGAAGCAAATGCATGTGATACGAGAGGTGGAATCTGATTGGTCAATAGGAGAGGCATAGAAAGGACATGACTTGTAATAGCCACTGATGGTGCTACGATCGAGCCCAGGAATTCCAGCCTAGTTCGGCAAGGATGGAAACTGGACTTTTAGAGTCAGTTAACTCTCTTGCCTCGGGAAGATGGTAAAGTGATGAAATGGTGAAGTGTACTGTATGTTTAGATTACTTGAGAGCGCGGAATGAAACATGGACAGTGGTCATGATCGATGGATGAAATGACAGATGCCCACAACTGCTCTTGATGCACTGTAGGTACTATCAGTATATTTGTGTGTCCCTTGGGACCTGGTATATAGTTATCTGTGTCAACTCTCTATATGTGTGTGTACTGGACGCTGCAGATGTAATATTGTTTTAAATGAAACACAAGGAGTATGACAGGTAAAGAAGCTCACCTTCTTTGGGTGATACAGCACTGATACTAGATTGTTCCTACAAGAATTAATGCCTTCAATTTATATACACTAAACTAGATAATATATAGACATCCATAAAAATAATTGCTTAATTGAATATCTGTTCACTATTTCTTACTGCTGGCACATGAAACTATTTTGAGAGTTTTCAAAATGAAAATCTTACTTCACTGGGTATAGGGTCCCAGAATACCTCTCCTTTATGTAGAGAAGTGTCCGACATGAAGGCTTCTCATTCACAAACGTAAGTTGAATTGACAGCCATTTTGAATTTCTTTGCCAGATGTCATACTCCTTGTAATTTCAGAGATGTTTGTTTAACACCACACTCAGCAATATTCCAGCTATAGTGGTCTTTAAATATTCGAGTCTGGACTAGACAATCCAGTGATTGATATCATGAGTATATGGGATATTTGGATATGATGACACATAAACATATAAATAAATATGTATCTTTATTCTGTATAAAAATCACAGGCCCATCTACATAAATTAAGCAGGATTCATTTTAACAGTGACAGACGGGTATGTTAATCTTACATATGGACAACTTTTCAACTTTATACAACACTTCTCAATTTCATTGTCATAAACCTTGTCTTATAATTTCAAAATAATATGTGTTTTGGTTACAAACACAAACTGTTTTGCATGAAGTCTCTTTCAACACCAGCCAACCAGAAGCTTTTGCTGCAGTGACACTGTGTCCCCAGAGACTCTGGAGTGATAGATGAGGCTTACGTTTATCAAGGAAATTATCTGCTTGTAAAACATCTTTGCTACTTCATGTCATACACCATTTGAAAGGTCCTATCCTACGGTTTATAAATATGAAAGTTAAGTTCATCACATTATTTAAATAATCAATTTACAATTTAATTAGGTTTGTTTTAAATAAAAAATGTATGCAAACACATTCATAACGTCCACATGAAAGGGAAAGTCAAAACTCTTAACTCTCAGTTGTTTAGCCTGCATCAACACTGGATCCCAATTAGCATCAGCAGCCCAACAAACAACCTAGGGGGCACTTGGAGGACCTCGTTGACAGCAGGGGGAATCCCCTTGAAACCTCCCACTTGATGGGATGGTGCTAACTATAACCTTTCACCAAAAAATAACCAGTCTCAATTATCCAACAAAATTGATTTCATTGGGCATAAGAGGCAAAATAGCGGTTAAAATTATATGAATGGATCGTTGAAAATCAGTGATGACACCAGGTGTTCAAAGAGAGAGTAAGCATGTCCTGCCCTACCGTTCACACCCGAAGATAAGACTTACACAAATAGGAGTCCAGGGGACCCCACATCAATTTTAAGGGTCCTTGCAGGAAATATGAGGGTCCTGTAAAGTGACATCTTCCCATGGCAAGTGAGTTAACTGACTATAAAAGTCCAGTTTCCATCCTTGCTGAACTAGGCTCGTATTATGGAGTTACATTTTGGCTGGACTAACGAGTTTATGCATAGTCCAATCCAAATCGCACACCGAAATCGAAATCCGGTTTGTAAAGTGTCATGCAGATTTTGGTCAACTGCAGGATTTGCAAAGCATGTGCACCGCTAACTTGTTGTCAACAGATATTTTCTAAATCTTATGTTTTTAATCAAGGTGCTCACGTGATTTGATGCACTTCGCGATGTA